TGCAGTCGACACTTGGTCCGGTGTTCCCAGCCCAAAAAGCCGTATACCGCATACGGTACTCTAACTAAGCCTATAAGCCCTAAAGTTGTGGTCAACCTGGCTGCGAGCCCCTGGTTGCACGTCTCAGCTCCGTGCCAAGGAGGCTTTGCAACGAGAACTGGCCAGGATATGTCCGACGACATGTCCTGATGTCTACACTTAGTATTCCGCAACCGGTCATCCCTGGGCCCGACTAGAAAAGTTGCGAGGGCACCGAAAGCCTAGAGTTTGGAAGCTGGTACCCCCATGAGCTGGCGCTTCTGCCCGCTTCTGCCGGATTAGAGACTCCACAGTTTCGAAGCTGTGCGGAGTGTCACGTATTCTTTGTGATAGGGTTTAGGGTTTAGGGTTTAGGGTTTAGGGTTTAGGGTGGGTGCATGGAAGCCTTGGATGCGGCGGTTTCATTGCTCGGGTTCTTTCCCAAGCTTGTTTCGGTGGCAGCGAGATTTAGCCGGGTAGCATCGGATTCGGACTGTGCTATCCTCTCCCCCGACCCAGCGTAGCAGCGTCCCGTTTGGGGAAGCCAACCTCGGAATTGATGGAATCGATTGCGGCACGGAGCCCCAAAAGGGACTAAACCCTAAACCCTAAACCCTAAACCTTAAACCCTAAACCCTAAACCCAAAAGGGATAACCAGGGCACGCCCCTCACCTCGAGGCTCTGTTTTCAGAGGTTTTCGTCCCAAAGGATGCTCGGAGCACGAAGGTCACAAAGGCTGCGAGTGCCGGTTGCAATCCCATCGTTGAGGGGCTCCGATGAAGCCATTGTCCTGTCCTGTTTGGCGCCATGGTGTATGGCGCACAGACTGGCGCCAGAATCAACCCTAAAGGCTAAACCCTAAACTCTAAACCCTAACCCTCAGCCCACCTTCATTTTGCTAATTGGCAGCTTTCGCTGATGACCTGTGAGGGCCTGAAGGCGCGCTTCTCAGCTCCGGAGCTCTGCCTCAGAGGCTTTGGGCAGAGAGTTGGCAACAGGGGAGCTTGCAATAACGACGACAGCGAACATGTTTGGTTAAGATCTGGTGCGATATTCCATGATCCGTGGTACATGGAGTCTGTTCTGCAGCACCGCCTGCATGCGAGACTTCTTTCCCATTAGTGGCCCGCAGGTCAGCAGAAAGCACACTTTGAAGCTTCGTAGGGCCCGCAGGTTCAGGGAGAGCTTCGCAGAAGGTGCCCATTGAAAAGCATGGTATCTTGCAGACACATCCAATCCGAGTCCAGCAGGGACTCTGAATCCGATCTGGGGGTTTCCATAGTGCCATCAGTGCAGGGCTTCTGCTTAGGTATCCCCATGTTCGCCATGAGAAAGTCTACAGGATTTGCGAGCCTTGGAAACTTCCGTGTCCTGCAAATCGGCAACTGGTCCGTGATTCCTCCCCTGCGTCAAGCCTTGAGTCTTGAGGGCTGCAAGCTACGGCCTCGAGTAGGCATACACCCCCTCAAACCCTAAACCCTACAGCCCTAAAGCCCTAAACCCTCGAAGCCCCAAGCTGCTCGAGGCTGCCGTTGGCCTTGACTTTGCCCTCTTCCAAGTGTAGCATCTGCCACTTGCAGTCAGGACCTTGTCTTCCAACCGCCAAGATTACAATCTTACCCCTAAACCCTAAGCCCTAAACCTTAAACCCTAAGCCCTCACGACTGCGTTTTAGGGGTGTTGAGGCTTGACTGCGTGTCGAGCTGGAGGAAAAGCTTGAGCGTGCAGGTGTCCGGGTCCGAGCTCCGTTCATCACCCACTGGCAGGCTGCACTGATCTCAAGAGCTCTTTGACGTTAAAGACGCTCTTGGCACAGTGACGTGAGACGGGGCCATCGGCAGAATGCGCCAAGAGCATCCCCTCAACTTGCGACGGAAGGCCATGGTCTTTCCGGGTCGGTACCCACGAGGCTATCGACCAAATTGCACAGCGGTCGCGCCCCAGCTACTTTCGGAGGAATACACCCTAACCGCAGCCCGTCGGCTGTCACCACTCGAGCAGCGAAGTCGTTGCCCAGGATCTTGAAAGCCTCGTCTTTGAGGTTTCAGGGTTTGCGGACTCGGTCCCAGTATCATTGAAGCAAAGGGGGGCAGGGTTTAGGGCATACAGAAGCATCGTACCACTAAAATTGGGATCTCCCCCAGTTACTGTACAGGGTTGGCCCTGTGTGTGGCCCGTGCTGCTACAGTCTAGACCCCCACTGGCATGTGCGTTATTTCTTGCGCCACAGAGAATTGCCCCTTCGTCTTGTTGCAGACGGATGAGATTCAATATCTTCCCTTTGTAGTCATCTTGAAACTCCTACATGGAGAAATTCACAGCAAGGAGAAGTCGTCACGACGCACCGTCTTCAAGCGCCTGATGGGATGCGGGATGCCCTCAGCTTGCGGGATCCCTGACTCCAGGTACACAGGTGCCGCATTGTAACATGCTGCATCTCCTTAGGGTGATGCGAAATGGCTACCACTGCTATTGAGGGCAGCACAAAACTAAGCGCTGACAAAAATGAAATGTGGGCATCGAGGAAGGGACTCAGCAAGTGAAAATGTCTCACGGGTCTTCCCGCCCGGTGAACTGCACAGGACGTGACGAGGAAGCCTGTCATTCTCCACCTGCATGTGCAGAGGCTCAGGACTTCCACCACAATGCGGATGGTGCTTCAAGCCATGGGCTGAAGCGTGGAAACTCCAGCAACAGCGTGAGACCAAGACTCGGCAGGAGAAGGGCAGGGAAGAAGAGGCCGGGATCACGAAATCCAGACGGCATCAACCGGACGCTGAGATATGGCCTGAGGGCGCCCAGGAGCATCACCTAGGTCTCCATAAGGCTCAACTGCAGGTTCAGCTTCGCTCCTCGGCTGCACATGCTACTGACTTCTGTAAGCAGACAGTCCCGCGGCTTGTGACCATCATTTGGGCTGCCGCTTTCTGTCCAACGCTGGGTGCAGCCGTGCATCCAAGATCGGTGTGTGACATATGTCCAATGCAGGAGGAATTAGACACGCCAGATTTCCTTCAGGCTACCAGGGATAGATCTCTAAGCAGTCCCTTAGAGACTAACAATGGCGCTGTCGCAGACACATGGCTGCATGCTTGTGTCGTTTTTCTCAAGCCTCAATTGTCTGCGAGAAAGCAGGATACGTTCCAGCAGTCCTAAATAGCTGCTGGCTGTGTCGGCAAAGCACCGTTCTCCCGAAGTATCCCTCCCCCCTCAGCCCCATCGCCTATGCCATCTTCAGACTCGAAAAAGAGATTGTGCGAGAGCACAAGCATGTCAAGTTGGTGTACACCAGGTCTTGCGGGAAAAGGTCTACCTGTAAAACCTGAGACTAGCTGGCAGCACAGACGTCAGCTGTTTAGAGGTGGCGAGGGCAGCCCCAGTCAAACGCTTCTCAAGGTCACTAAGCACGGCCAGCTGTTCAACCTCAACGTGCTTTAGGATGTTGTTTTGCTGGCCAAGGCTAGGGAATCTTGTGCCCTAAACCCTAAACCCTTCTAGTTTTCAAAAGTTCTCTTTCCGGGTCATTGTCAGTACTTGGCTTCCGGTCCTTTGCGGACACCCTCGGGTCTTCGCTTCCGTTCTTTCTTCCTGACGGCCCAGACGGAAAGCTAGGGTTTAGGGTTTTGGTTCCAGCATGCAAGGCCGTGTCTGCGTGGAGGGAATCCCCTTCAGATTAGCCTGCAAGAACTGGGTCTAAGACTCGACTCATCTCAAACCCGGCGCTGGTTCTGTGCCAGAAGCCGGCAAAACCTGTGTGTTGACGCATCCCTGTTGCAGGACCGCCGTGCGATCCACACATAAAGTTCCTGATTCCACAGAAAAGGTTGTTGGTTGACCCTGAACCCTAAAGCTCTAGACTTGGCATGGTCCCTTCCGAAGCCCTAATATACAGCATGCCACTCTCGAGGCTGGTATTGAACAGCAACCGATTGTGAACCGACATGTCTTGAATCGGAAAGCGGCCAGAGAAGCCTTGTATGTTCATTCGACGGTGCCGTGGGACCTCGCTTGTGCGACGAGGGTGCAAAAAAGAAGAGTCTTAAGACATGGTGGTGTTCAAGGTTCATGCAAAGGCAAAGTCATCCACTGCTCATACTCAGAGAAAAAGCATGCTAGTAGTCGGCCAACGGGACTCTTCTTGTTTTTTTATGTCTCAGTGCGCAGTCCTTGTCCAGAAAAACTGTAGCAAAGAGTGGACTCAGCGGCAATGGTTTCGTTTGGGTTTTACAGTTTCGTTTGGGTTTTACAGGATAGCCTAGAGGCTTCGAGTTCAGGAAAGCCAGTCTAGGAGACATCTTTATTGCAACTCCTGCCTACAGGAATGATTCATTATGTTTTGTGGTAACATGTTTGTATTCAGCATACAAGAGAATCGCATAGTTATTGTGGAAAGCAACCCCTACAAGGTAAAGCAAGTGTGCAGGCTTCTTACTAAATTCGGAGTATGTGTAGCAGTTCGATCGGGGCTTCCTTGTGGTGCACAGGTCACGAGACTCAACATTGCTGGCATTGCCCGTAATCTGCAGTTCTTGACGGCTCGCCCCGGTCCCATCATGGTGACAGACGATAGATGAGCACTGCTTGATACAGCTTGAATCCGTGGGTTGCAAGGCTGCCTAAGAGTTGAGAAGAGATTACAGGGCGACAGGCACCACAGCAGCAAGGCATCACTTCGGCTGTAGGATTTGTTGGGGACCCTGGTTGGAGCTATGTCGTAAGAGCCTGGATGGTTGCCATGGATTGCACCTTGCGTGATGACTGGACTCATGTGTGCATTCCAATACCTGTGCTAGCAATCCAGATCCTCTCTAAGAGCTTCTGCCTGTTTGTGGTGATCGATGCGGTCTTTTTTGCGCTCTATGGCATCAGCCTGTACTACTCCCGCAGACCGTTTTGTCGAATATTGAGTTTTGGATGCCTCGTCTTCGGATTGCAGTTGTGCCTGCCCCAGGTTTGGTTGGAGAGCCTGGATCCAACATACATGGCTTCCTCAAATCTCTCTTTGTACGTGCTCTTTGCCATCGGCGACGTTGTGGCACACGTTGGACTTATGACGATCGTTTACTGGGACATTTGCATGGAAGCTGTGCTTCTGATCTATGCGTTGGCACCTCTGCACCAAAGAATCGGATATATAGTTTCCACTTGGGTGGGAGCCATGTCAGTTGCGAGCCAGGTCTTGTTCCTGATTCCGTTTTGGACTCTGATGTACCAATTGCCGATCGGTTCGACCCGAAATTTTCTTGCAGGCACATTCTTCGTTGTGCAGTGCTTCACCATCTTCGGGATCATTCCTGCGGCAGGTTTCACTGTTCTTGCTCATGGTGCGCGTAAACTTCGGGGCAAGCTGCCTGCAAGCATTCCAAGACACTTGACCCATCGACTGCGCTTTACACAGCTGGGCATTGCCATTTTCATCCTGATGGGTGTTGCGGATGCACTTTTTGCATTGATTCCAGCAACGCAGCCATACATCAGGAGGTTTTCAAGTTTCTTGTACATCAATCTCGTCCTCACCTCCCTCGCCATCTTCACCTTTCTACTACTTGCCGTGGAGCCGGGGGCCTTTCCCGAAATTTCTTTTAAAGGTAGAAAGTGGGAGGTTTAGGGTTTAGGGTTTAGGTAGGCTAGTTACTTCTACCATCTCTTCTTCGAGGTTTGGTTCGGCACGAGCTCCCTTAAACCCAACACCCACAGCCCTAAATCCAATACCCTGAACCCCTAAACCCCTACAGCCCAACCCTAAAAGCTTCAAAAACCTCCCAAACCCCTAAACCCCTAAACCCCTAAACCTCCCTCCCCCCTTGAACCCTAAACCTTTTGTCTTAGACGTTTTCGACCTCCACCCTGGACCCCGGCGAGGAGTTGTATTTAAACATCCAGCAGATGCGAAGCACGACGGTCTCCCCGATTCCACTTCAGCCGCATGCTCTGGCCAACATTGCGCCTGGCCCAAATTTTCAAAGTTGAGTTTAAGTATTCGCAAGCGGTGCAAGCGGTTTTGATTACTCTTGGGGGTGTGGGTGTGCTCTTGCCTAGCATTCTCCGGAGTCATTCTGTTGGTCATTCCGGAATGCCAAAACCCAAAATCAACAACGGACAACCGTGCCTCAAAGATCCGACCTTTTTGGACTTTTCATCTTCTAAGCTTTGAAGCTTTAGAGATCCTAAACCCTAAACCCCAAACCCTAAACCCTAGAGGTGTTCGGATTCACCCAGGTGAAGCATGGCGTCTCCATGCTCGCAAGAGACGGCCAGTCTCATACACCGGCTGCTGTATGGGAGCGGGGCGTGCCTGGGTTCTTGTTAGGGAACTTAGTTGGTTTAGGGTTTAGGCTTTAGGGTTTAGGGGTTTAGGGTTTAGGGGTTAGGTCAGCGGACCGAGGATCTATGGTAGGTAACTTAGATTAGATTCCCTAAACCCTAAACCCTAAACCCTAAACCCTAAACCCTAAACCCTAAACCCTAAACCCAGGTTTTGCTGACGGTTGCGACTGGTTTCGGCGACATTCTGGAAGCGAAGAACATCTTGGAATCCAAGAGTGGCCTGGGGGATGCTCAGATACACATAACCCTAAACCCTAAACCCTAAACCCTAAACCCTAAACCCTAAACCCTAAACCCTAAACCCTAAACCCCAAACATATACGTGTTTCGCTTCTTTGTACATACTCTGTGTTTGTACCGTCTGAGGCTCAGAGGTCGTCAAGCCACACTGCTGCCTCAATAGTATCCCGAGTTTTTTGCTGAGCTTGTTGGATGCAAAGGACAACGTTCATGATGATGATGATGATGATGATGATGATGATCATGATGATGGTGGTGGTGGTCGCGAGGATGATGATGTTGAGGGCCATGACGATAACACTTAGGATGCTGGTTGTGATAATGATGATGATGATGATGACGGCGATTATAATTTCGTCGATGGTGGCTGTAGCTGTAGTGCAGATGATGAAAGCAGCAGTTGTAATGTTCGTTATGAGGATAGTGACGGCGCTGACAGTTGTGACGACTGCGACGACCAGAAACATGCAGATTGTGTTAAAGATGATGGCGAGAATTATTGTGGTGACGATCATGATGATATTGATGCTACTTACGGCGGTGGCGATGATCAACATTATGGTGATGACGATGTCGCTGGAGAGGATGGCATCCTCGATTGACGATGGTGATAATGACTCTTTTGCTACGATGCTACGACGAGAGTGAACAGTTTGACCCTGATCGTGTTGAGAATCGTGTTAGTATGCACGGCGACGATGATGGTCATGAAGGTGGCTGAGGAGAATGGCGCGACTGAGGACTAACGCACAACCGAGTTAATGTTGTTCGGCGCAACAGTGCGACAAGTTTCGGGCAGAAAAGAAGATCAGCGAAAAGCACTGCTGATGGCAACAGTCTTACAGTAATGGCCTAGACAGCAGTACCAGTGCATTCCACAATTCTAGCGAGGAGAGACGCAGCAGCAGCTGGAGGGAGGAGTGGTGGTGGTAGTAGTAGTAGTAGTAGTCGTAGTCGTCGTCGTCGTCGTCGTCGTCGTCGTAGCAGTAGAGGAAGAATAAAAAGAGTAGGAGGAGCAGCAGGACTACTCTAGTAGGAGTACTCGGAGAAATGGGTGGAGGAGCAGCAGCTTGACGTAGTGACAAAGCCCATGGCCCTGGCACGCAGCCCGAGCTTACATCTTACTACGGGCCCTAAACCCTAAACCCCCCATTAAAGGGATCTTTTTGGGGCTTCTCTAAGGGTACTATATTTCTTCTGGGCAGAAGCCACCAGGTTACACACCAAAATCTGAATGGCTCATGATTCAGGGCTTGGAGTCTGTCTGAGGAGACAACCAGCGACCTGTGTGTGGAGCTACTGAGACCGCTCACCGAGGAGGAATCTCGGTTTAGGTTTTTTGGGAGTTTACGATGTTTTAGGGTTCAGCTTACGAGGGTTCAGGGTTCAGGGCTTATGAGGGTTTAGGGTTTAGGGTTTATGAGGTTTATGAGGGTTTAGGGTTTAGCAGGGTTCAGGGTTTAGGGTGTAGGGGCTGTACTTGGAGCTTCTTGGGGAGTTATAAGTGGGGTGATACCTATGCTATCTATAAGTATAACCCATATTCGGGGACTTAGAGTTGTGACCTTGCTTACCACCGCCAGGCTCAACCCTGGCCTCGAAGCCGTAAATTCCTAAGCCATACACCCGGGTTTGGGGTTTAGGGTTTGGGGTTAAGGTTAGGGTTTAAGGTTTAGGGCTACAGCCGCAGGCGAGGTGCTCCGCCTGGGAAGGGCTTTACAATGGACTCGAATTCCAGTCCTCAGCACGGACAGAGTTCGCGGTGTCACCGAAATACGTCGGAAAGCCGACAGTAATGGTGAGCCACTGTTGCTGAATCGCATTATGCGGCCCTAAACCCTAAACCCTGTACCCTAAGTCCCTAAACCCTAAAGCGTTTTCTTCGGGCGAGCAGCTCGATGCAGGGCAGGTCAGGGTCTTAGCTTTTGCCTGTGTCCATGATTCAGGTTGGGCCAGCCCGTACTCCCAGCTCATGGCCATTTTGAAGCGCTATGACGAGAATACAAACAGGAACAACTTCTTCTGGATTGATGTTTTTAGCATGAACCAGCACGATTTTGCCAACCTCAGTGGAAAGAATCCTTCAGACATCCATCGCTCTGCAAGTGTTTACGACACCATGTTGGTAGCTCTGACCCGATCCATCAAAGTGCCCGGACGCATGCTGCTGGCTCTCACTCCGCATGAGCAGCCGTCGCTTCTGTCAAGGCGACGGTTGAGAATCCTAGCACTACCGGAGCAAATTCTAAAACCTTACTCGCCATTCCCTAACCCTTCAGGGCATGGTGCTTGTACGAGATCTACATTGCTTGGACAGTCGGGGCAGAGGTCTGCTGCGGCTTCGTGCCGGAAGCGGAGCAATCTGTGAAGAGGAGCCTGCTGCGAGACGATGTGCTGATCAACCAGATGCTGGATTCTGTCGACGCGGAGAAGTCTCGTGCCACCGTGGAAAGCGACAGAGCCATGATTATGGACTTGATCGCAGCAGCAGGCATTAGTAATTTTAATTCTTTCGTCCGGAAGCAGTTGCAAGCTTCTTTGCGCATGCTTGCCGTTACCACATTGCTGAAAATCAGAACTGCAGACTCCACAAACGTGGAAGCTGCAGAGGTAGACTCCACAACCGTGGAAGCTGCAGAGGTAACGACCGACCCCAGCAGCCCTAATTCAGTAGCAACACGTAGTCAGTTCCTCCACGCCGATGCGAAGTTCCACTCCGAGGAGGAGGCTCCTGAGGAGGCGGATCCTTATGCACTCGTGGAGTCGATCGAGCCCTTGGCTTTTCAAGTGACCTTTGGAGACGTGGGCTTTCACTCGGAGGCCTTTTCGGTGTGACGGCGCAAATGGCGGTTTAGGGTTTAGGGTTTAGGGTTTAGAGGGTTTTGGGTTTGGGATGCAAGGATTTTTTTTTATGAAAGACTGGGACTCTTTCGCCCCACGTTCCGTGTTGCAGTTACCCAGTCTGATTCCCAAGCACTTCTTGCACAGTTCAGCATCAACTATGGGCATAGAACCCCAAAGTTTATGCTTAGCCAACCCCTAAACCCCCTAAACCCCCTACACCCCCTACACCCCCTAAACCCCCTAAACCCCCTAAACCCCCTAAACCCCCTAAACCCCCTACACCCCCTAAACCTGAAACCGTTATCCTAAACCTGGAGACCTGAACTCTCATTCGAAGGCCCCCTCTTGAAAGGGGTTTAGGGTTTAGGGTTTAGGGAACTTTAACCCTAAACCCTACACCCTAAACTTCCTAAACCCTAAACTTCCTAATCTCTTGATCCCAAACCCTAAACTTCCTAAAGCCTAAACCTTAAACCCGGAGCTCTAATTTTGAGTTCAGCTGCCTTGGGATCGAAGCCCCAGAGCTCGAAAGCTGTGGGTCTACGGATGTCGGTTTCGTTTGGTTCGTTGAGGGTTTAAGCTTTCGGGTTTAAGTTCAGGGTTCAGGGTTAAACCCTAAGCCCCTAAGCCCTAAACCCATGGGACATATTCCAGTTGAACTCCGTGCCGGGCCTAGAAGGGGATATCGCTTTTGCTGCAGTCCTAAGCCCGAAACGACAAAACCACGCTCCACCCTAAATGTCTACACCTATACCCTAAACCCCAAAGCTCTGAGATCCTAAGGACCCTAAGCCCTCAACCCTAAACCCTAGACCCAAAAGGCCAAAAGCCCTGAAGACCCTAAGCCCTCAACCGTGAACCCCAGAACCCAAGCCCCGAACCCCACGGATCCCATCCCCGCCCCTCACTGGTTTCGGACTCCTGAGACACGACCACCCGATAATTCGGGGCTTGATCAGGTTTTGTAGAGCTTCATAGGAGTTTCATTATAGTATTTTCAGAGGGTTTTCCGGGATCCGTAGGGGGTTTACAGGCTTTGTATATCTTTTTGTAGGATTCGTTATTCTGTTGTTTTTTGGTAAAGTGTGATATTGTAGGATTGTCAATCGGGTTTCAAAGCGCATATTTATTGCAGGTCTACTTCTGAACTAGATGGATATTCCTTAATGAAGGGGTTTGAGAGTCTCTGGGTTTCATGGCACGTGGAAGTAGTTCCGAAAGCATCCTTGGGGATTTGGGGTTCAGGGCTTGGGATTTCGGGTATTTAGGGTTTAGGGTTTGGAGCTTCGGGTTTGACCTGCAGGGTGTTCCGGGGATTATGATGATCGCTTTGTACTTTTCCGCAAGAGTATCAGCCCTCAGCCCTCACAGAGAATCGCTTCATACCCTTCAAGTGGCACCAAGCCCTAAACCCTAAACCCTAAGCCCTAATCCCTAAACCCTAATCCCTAAACCCTAAACAATGCAAGCCTGAAAGACAGGCCGGGTGCGAGAGTCAAAGGCCCATTGCATTAAACAAAAAACCCTAAACTCTAAACCCTAAACCTTCACATTCACATTGCATCCTAAACCCTAAGCCCCAGAGCCTCCCAGGTTGCACCCTCCGAACCCCAAGCCCTAAAGCTTTTCAGTTGCAACCTAAACCCTGGACCCACATCACTAAGTTTAGGGTTTAGGGTTTAGGGCGAGCCTTAAGTGCTCTGAGGGTGGCTCTGTTCAGAGGGTGCTAGGTGAGGATAGACAGATGGCTTAAGGTAGAGTATAGGGCCCTGTCATGCCCAACAACCCTGACGAGGATCCTAAAAGGCTCATGCGACTTAGTGAATCGGGGTTATAAGTAGGGTAAATTATATTGACAGCAATTATCAGTTAAGGTAACCATAACCTGACCTAATAAGTCCCCTAAGCCTATGGACCCTCATAGAATCCTGCTGGACACCCCTATTAGAAACCTTAAGACCTTGCGGGATGGTGTTCCTTCTGGGGGGATAGTATAGAGGTTACTAAAAGGGCTACTAGAAGGGTCTTCCGTGGACTACTGTAAGGATGCTAGAAGAGTTACTGCATCTAATCCTCCAAGTACTGCTGCCCTCCGCAGGAGCCCCTAAACCCCGAACCCTAAATCCTAAGCCCTAAAACCGTCCCTAGCATACCTACAGGCGGACAAAAGACCCTTAAACAAACAAAAAATCGTAGCTCTCATCTAGAGGGTTGAGGCTCACACAGCCTGCAGGGAAAGGGTTCAGGGCCCTAAGCCCTCAACCCTGCAACCCTGCAACCCTAAACCCTAAAACCCTCAAGCCCTAAACCCAAAACCCTGCAGCCATCTTGTGATCTTGGGAAGGCAGGGGGGGTAGATCCAACACTTTGGTAGCCATGGGAGCTGGGGCCTCCGCCCATAAGGCACACGGCGCCGACGTAGGTAAGGGCGAGCTTTTTTGTCGGAGGGTGTTGGGCTTTACAGCTTAAGGCATATGATTGTTGAATTCCGTGCTTAAGGTTTTGAGTCATGGCCTTAACATGCAGTGTGTAATGTCTAAGGTCTAGGTTTGGGTTTTGTTCAGCCTCGGGGGGCGGAAATCTAAGCTGGACTGCATTGGCGGGGGCTTGATGGGGTGTTTCGCATGTGTGGACACTGCTGCTGCCCTGGTCCCAGGGATGCTAAACACGTCTCTCTGGACATGTAGACATGAGCTTTGGCAGTGGGATGTCTGCTAGACTAGACCCGAGTCCTCAAGCACCAAGCCGAACATCCTAAGCCCTCGCAGCTAAGCCGTGCATCCCCAACCAGCAACCTAGGCCTGTTCACTCTCAGCTCGCACCCTTCGCAGGCTCTCTGGGAGAATGCAAGCCAGAACGACCTCAACGACTTTGTGAAGGGCCTTTCCAAGGCCAGGGGCGGTGCTGTAGCTCTCTTGTTCCGCCCGGCTACAACCCTTCCTAGCCGTAGTACTTATACTGCTGCACCCACAGTGAAGGACTATGGTGATAGCATTTGCAGGGGGTGATCATCTTAGGAAGTCGAAAATCGAGGATGCAGACGAGGCGGAGGCAGTCGTTAGGCACACGATCACAGGCCTGGTGATCGAGCTTCTTTTTGCAGGAGGAGGCCGCAAAGCTGGCAGCAGCTCTCCAGGCACGCGAAGTTGCCGCACCGCTTGGCATCCGTGCTGCTGGGCCATTCTTAAGCTAGGGTTTCAGCAGCTGTGCTTGCTGCTGGTCGTCCGAACCCCAACCTTCATGGATACGACGACGAAGAGCCCGAGTGTTGCAGCCCAAATCCTGTACGCTGGTCCGAGATTGGAAATGCCCCAAACCCTTAAGCCCCTCGCCTCTATGTGCGCAGTAATTCTTTCAGTGACCCTTGTAGTACCGTATAGTAACTGCTCTAGTATCCTTACAGTAGCCCTCGGAACACCCTTCGAGTAGCCCTTATAAACCTCTGTACTGCCCCGCATAAGGAGCACCATCCCGCACCCTTGCAGTAACCCTTATCGTAACCTTAGCCCATATGGTTCCCTCTACACTACTGTACCCTAAACCCTAAGCCTTAAACCCTAAGGCCGAAACCCTGAACTCTGAACCCCCCAAAACGGGACGCCTAGCCTGGCGGGCCGTTGGACCAAGGAGATGTCGGCGCTCCACGCGACCCACAGCTTCAACCCGTCCAAGGAAATCCCGCGCCAGGTGCGACTCTGAACTCCCGGTTTCGGGTTTTTAGGGTCTAGGGTCTAGGGTTTAGGGTTCAGGGTTTAGGGTTTAAGGTTTAGGGTTTTTAGGGTTTAGGGTTTAAGGTTTAGGGTTTAGGGTTTAGGGTTTAAGGTTTGGGTTTTTAGGGTTTAGGGTTTAGGGTTTAGAGTTTAGGGTTTCCTGCTTGGGGGTGCTATGAGGGTTACTACAAGGGGTATGATACGGATCACTAAAACTTTAACGGGCACTTTTGGGGTTACTGTTTGGAGTACTATGAGTTGGACTGTAGGGTTTGTTAAACTTTAAGGGATACTCCGGGGGGAGGGGGCGGGGCGAAAATGAGGATACTAAAAGCGGTACTGTAGGGATTATGTCGATTGCTGATTATGAGGGGTCCTGTAAGGGAAATCGGTACGGGTAGACGAAGATTTTTCAGGCCTTAGAGTTGCCGTGTTTGGGGTTTTCGGGTGCTTTATTTAGGGTTTAGGGCAAACCTTCTCACAGCCCTCAAGCCATCAGGAAAGTTGATAACAAGAGATGCAAAAAGCCACATCCATGAAGCCGAAGCTTAAGACGAAAGCGCAAAACTCAAAATCTGAACCACAAGCCCTCCAGCACGGAGCTCTCGAGCAAGTGGTATAAACCGCGCGCTCCAACTTCTGCAAGTCTTTGCGTTGGCATTGGGGCAAAAGTTTTGGAAGAGGGATGGTGCATTGAGAGATTTGAGTTGTTGCTTTAGGTTCGAAGATATGAACTTAGGTTTTAGGTCTGGGATGTCGATTTCGGGTTCAGGCTTCCAAGTTTAAGCCGAAGGGGCGGTTCGGGGGGCAGGCTTGTTGAAGTTTACATGGCGGAAGGCCGTGACCTAAAACCCCCTAAGTTAGAACACAAAACTCCAAAACCCTAAGCTTCAAGCCCTTAGAATCCTAAAATGGGCAGGGTGGTCTCGAAGCTACGAAGCTTGTAGGCCTTTGACCCGAAGCTCACAGGTCGCAGGAGGCAAGCTGTCAAACGTGCCTGACAGGCCACGCCCCAAACCCTAATAGGGTTTAGGGTTTAGGGTTTAGGGTTTAGGGTTTAGCCTAAGCCCCAAACTCTAAACACAGGAGAACAAACGGTCGACAGGAGCCCCACGCTCCAGGCCCCATCCCGAAGCCCTGCAGCCTAAACCCCAAATCTCGCGTCTCGAAACTATCCAAGGCCCAACTTCGTAGATCCCTTGTCAGCCAGGTGGTCAAGGATATCCTCGAAGGCCTGCGCAGCGTGCCCTCTTCTGCCAACACACAGCCCTGGACCATCGTGGTCGTCCAAGGCCATCCGTGAAGAGTGAGTTTTGGGGTTTGGGGTCGGGTCAGGGGTCTAGGGTTTTTAGGGTTCGGTTTTTTTGGGCCACCTCTCTGGGTTCTGCGAGTTTGATGGGAACTGTGGAGAAGGCGTCTGAAGGGCGAGGGCCCGACTCGTTTTGGTTTCGGCCGTTTAGGTGATCTTAAGCATGCTGTTATGTCTGTTCAGCTTTGACCTGTGGCTGGCTTCGGATGTAGGCGCAGGCTTCCAGATTTGTTGGGAGGTCTGGAACTTTGGGGTTGGAGGTGCGGGTCGCTGGAGTCAAGATGTATGAGGTCGACATCTAATGTTCTGTATTTAAAGCTCATTGATGCAGAGGAGCTGTGCTTAGGAAAATGAGGCGTGCTTCTGAATTTTGTCAGGGATCAGGTGGGACGGGCTCAGAAATTTTGGATCGTAATTTTATTTCCACCCCTCTGTTCAAGCATTCCGTGGTGCCTTCTGATTCTCTTTCCCATGGGCATCCACTTCACGATGTGTGCCATTTCTTCATGGTTCTAGGTCTCTGGGTGTTGAGGGCAGGAGTATATGTATGGCTTCCGAAATCTACAAACCGGGAACCCTGCCCTACATCCCGCACCATGAGGGAGGGTAAAGCCTCCCGGTATACGCGGACGGAAATGACTCGGCCACGCCTCACACAATGTGGGCATCAGCCCGTCAAAATGAAGACAGTTAAAACCCACGGCTGTGTCTGGAGGGCATCTCCAGGGGGGTCTGGAAGTTCCAGGCTGGCAGATTCCAGGGATCCTCGGCCGGTCTTAGGAAGCGACCTGCCAAATTTTGGGAACTTCTGGGCCAGTACGCGAGGGTGTGTACATTTCGAGCTACCCTCACAGGGTGTGAGGGGCAAGTTGTTTGTTGGAAACCCTCGCTTACAGGCCCAACACCAATCTCTCAGCTGTAGTTTGCTGTGAAATGGTCATTTTATGCAGAACTGCCAAGGGAAGCAGAGAGCAAGAAAACCCCGTTGAGGGGGTTTGGTTGCCGAGCCCTAAACCCGAACTGAGAATAGCTGGTGTGGTTGGGGAGGGACTACATGCTGACGCAAGCGCGCGATTAGTGGGTACGCCCCTATTCCTAAAGTAAAACGCTCACCCACAGCGCGCACACTGTAGACACACCCTCAGGTCCAAACCCTGAACCCTGAACCCTAAACCCTGAACCCTTGAACCCTTAACCCTAAGGCCCAAACCTTAATTAAACCCAAATGGAGGTTAACCCTAAACCCTAAACCCTAAACCCTAAACCCTAAACCCTAAACCCTAAACCCTAAACCCTAAACCCTAAAAGTTCTGCCTGGGCCCCTGGATCTTCAGGGCAAAGCCAGGGGAGCCCAGGCGCAACCATTATGGGGTTTAGGGTTTAGGGTTTAGGGTTTAGGGTTTAGGGTTTAGGGTTTAGGGGTTCGATTCCGGGTTGGGGTTTTAGTTTCGAAAGTTTGAGTTTTTAAGCTTGAAGCCCAAACCCCAAGCTTCAAATTTTACGCTTCGCAGCCCAAAATGCCAAACCCCGAACTGGCCCCGAACCTGGGGGCCTTGCACTAAAGGTGCTACCCGCAAGCTTCTCTCCGAGAAGATCGTTGCAAAGTTCGATGCTGGCGAGCAAGGGACTGCGCTGTATGCCGACCTTCCCAAGGACGGCAGGCTTTAGGATTTGGTGCTTCGAGATTCGGACTTAGGGTTGGGGGATTTAGCATGTAGGGTTCGGCGTTTAGGGTTTGGGGTTTTGGGGCTTAGCGTTTAAACCAGGGCTTATGCAATTTTAGGGCTTAGGGTGTCAGGATTCAAGCTGTTTCTGTTTGGGCTGTTAAGTTTCGGGTGTGAGAGCTCTTCGCGATTCCGTCTGCACATTTCGTGCTTTTTTCTCCCGGTTTCGTCTAGGTTCAGGGTTCTAGGGTTTGGGAGGTTTTAGACGGTTAAGGTTTAAGGTTTAGGGTTTAGGGTTTGGGGTTTAGGGTTTAGGGCTTAGGGCTTTAAGGGTTGGGTTTAGGGGTTGATGCCCAGGACATGCCCGCGCGCATGCAGAAGGCTGTGGATGCGTACACGAAAGAATACGATGCCTTCCTGGGCGTGGCTCGTCCGCATTTCCGACCCTTAAAACCTGCAGCGCCATCCCTGATTTGTTACTTTCCTAGATCCTTCGATTCCAAAGTTCCGGAGCTCTGAACCTAAAGCTCCACGTCCTGAGCGCCAAAGGATGACAAGGCAAAGCTGCGAAAGGGCTGCGAGCTGCTTGGCAGGTAAAGGGGGTTTTAGATACTCTGGCCTAGAGCCTTGGGGTTTTTGTGTTCTATAAAGCTTTGCCAGATTCTACCGGGGTTCTGGGAGGGTTTCTATCAGGGTTTACGATGACCGTTGTTCGCAAGGTTCTGGCAGCATATGAATTGGTACTACTGTAGTGCTTGTTCGAGCATTGCTACTACGATAAGCATCTATGCCAATTGCTTCTGTTCCTCGCACTACTGCCGATGCCGTTGCTGTAAGCTCCTGCTTGCTACTTGCTACTTGCTCCTTGCTCCTTGCTGGGCTACTGCTCAATGCTTACGGCTTGCGGCTTGCTGCTTACCTCTTACTGCATAGGCAGACTACTAATTACTAGCTACTGACTACTACTTATCAACTGTGCACGAAATACCAACTAGAAATTATTACCACGACTAGTACTACTACTATACTCCTCCTCCTCCTCCTCCTACT